CTCATTGACAAACTAAAGCTTTGTCTAACTAAAAACATGTTTCAGTGCTAGTTCTTTTCATGGGAGAAATTAAATTAACATCTTTCAAAAACAACCACGTCTATTCAATTAAATTTAATTCAGTTTATTTTTATAGCACCAATTCACAGCACATGTCATCTCAAGGAACTTTACAGAGACAATTCAACCAGATCATCCAGTCAGATTAGTTCTAAGTTTTCTATCTAAGGAAAACCAGTTGAGTGCATCGACTCATTGACTCTTCAGCAATCCCTTACACCAAGAATGTTTGTAGCGACAGTGGAGAGGAAAAACTCCCTTTTAACAGCAAGAAACCTCCAGCAGAACCAGGCTCAGTGTGAGCGGCCATCTGCTGAGGCAGACTGGGGTTCAAGGAGACAGAAGCAGACATAGAAAAAGAAGCATAGATACAAAATCTGATGCTCTATCCGGAAGTAGCTTCTAATGACAGAAGGAGCGCTGTTTTCTAGGTCCTGAGGATTCTCTAAAACCAAACAGATTGGTGTAAGAAAGGTAAATATCTGTGGGGGTTACCTTTAGACCAAATTAAAACAGCCAGAGCAGTGGGAGATAACAGCTACTGTTTTTAATCATAACGTTTATTAGGTAATAAAATGTGTTAATGACCAATCATTAGCTGTAGCTATAGCGTTGCTTTAGAGCAGTATTGGAACGTGGGCATCAGACTGATAATGCTGGCCAGAAACATAGTTGGCAACATCTAACCCAAATCCCCATGTGGCTATTACAGTCAGTTCAATTTGAGTTCCACACAGTATCAATCTGGAAAGGCTCCTGTGGAAAATGTCCCACCAAAAGGAGGGACATTCAGTACAATTCTTCTTGCTGATTGCCTCATGTCGAGCTTTTAGCCAATCGCAGTAGGAGCTGTGATGTATTATATTCTTGATTTGTTTAGAACTAGCGGAGTTAACTGATTGAACTCCCACCATGGAGAAACTGTCAAACAAAGATCCACTCTTTTAAAATATATTTTGGTGTCAGTGTTGTTTTTGTCAACAAAATTTAAGACCAATTCTGACTCTTTTTTGCATGATGATAACGAAAACTGAAGTGCAAAACATGGATCTTTGATAAATAAAACATGACTAATCATAGGTTTGAGTTTAAGTCAACGAGACGAGACAAGACTAAATAAAAATTAGCGGGCTGTCGGCGTAGACATTTAAAATGGATCACTGTGCTGTAATCAGCTAAGCAGCATCAGCCATTCTGCTGCATCCTGTTTGATCCTGCCGCCCACCTGCCGCTCAGTGTTGCACATGCTGCAGGGTCTGAGAAAATAACCCGGATCAGTCCGGTACTGTGCGCTCAACTCTGGCAAACTCTGCCCCGATCTTCCATCTATGCTTGTGCAGAAATGCATCTTTGCGCTGAGAGCTTCTAGTCTGCGCTTCACACTCCACACTGATGGTTCGCTCTCAGCAGTATGGCTCTTCCTGCCCTCGCTACTTAATAAATTATATGGGGCTGATCATCCTCTGCCAAGCGTAAAAAATCTCCTCATCTAACTATCAATATTTTAGTTCTTCCAGCTCACAAGAGGTGATACTAAAATTTAATTTCTATCAAACGGAATCACAAAAGTATATCCAAATAAAATATTTCATTGCATTCTGTTTATTTTTGGACAAAGAGCCTGATGAAAAAGTATCTTTTAATATTTCTCTCTTATTGTTCTCGTTTCTATTTATTTAGTGATGATGTTTCTGTGTATTGTCATTAAAGTATTTTCTATGTTTCCCATGAATATGCCAACATTTTTGTTAGCATTTTTATTTAATTTAGGTCTGATTGCCATGGCAGTACAAGGCAATTATGTAGGTTCTCTCTGTATTTTGTTTGTTAGTACCATGGAAAAAAAAATGGATGATATTTTGTCAAAGCATTTGTCCTTTGCCTGATTGCTTGGTCCTAGACAGCACGGTAGAGACATAAAAAAATAAAATCCAAAAATTAGAAAAACATGATTTCTCTTTTAACACAGCAGTCTGTAGGAACAAAATGAAAATCATTACTAAACCCAGCAGGTTTGTCAAGATTCATGTTTCTCCAAATGTTTGGCAGTTTATATTGGCTCAGGAAAAAAAAATCCCAGTGGAGAGGTATTTGTTTTTAATCCTTTAAAAATTCACTAAAACAACTATGGATGTAAAATCCACACATTTAATGGACCCACTTTTCTCTTTAGCATAAAATTAAGCTAAATTCACAGCACATTATATAAACAAAAAACTTGGATTTAAGAATGCTTTTGTGCCTAACATAACGTGTCCCAGCTAGGTTTGAAAATCAGTGCGATTTGCTAATAATTAAGGGGTAGTTTTTCTTTTTTGTTTTTTGTGTTTCTTCAACTATCTATTTTTTATATTTAAGGTAGCCTATTGGAATTTAAGAATTGAAAACGTTCAGACTTTCCCATTTGCCATTCTAACTTCCCTCATTGTTTTATAATAGATTTTATTTTAAAGGCACCTTTCTGGGTACTCAAGGTCATCGTACAAAAGATAAAAAAAAAAAGGGAAAAAACAAAACAAAAAAAAAAAAAAACAATTAAAAAAATACAAAGTCTGGGACAGGGAGATTAATATTAAAGAGAATAGACAATTTTAAACAGATGAGTTTTGATTTTAAATGGAGAAGAGAGTCCGTGTTTCTAAGTAAGGGTGGTAAAAACTTGCCTAAAACATTTATAACTTGAACTTTAATTTAATTTACCAAACATGTCAAAAAAAAAAAAATCTAATCCTTTTTCTGGACAAAGCATTAAAAGCTCTGTTCATTCCTAGATAAATATAAAACTAACTATTTTGAAAGGTTCGGGAACCACTGATACTAAATATGTGTGTTTATCTTGCCCATGACTCCTGCTGTAAAAGCTATCCCTCCAGAAAAGCCTCCTGCTTGTAACCCGTTATAAAAATCCCAGTTGGTTCAGGTGCTTTAACAGCTAATGATTTCAAATAAAAGATAAATAAACATAACAAAAACTAATACAAAATAAATAGCAGTTAAGAATTACAAACAATAAAACCACAAAAGCCAAGATCTCAAACATGATTAAAAGCCACAAAGAAAAGAAAATAGCTGCACATGTTTTTCACTAAAACCAATTATAAGACAGGAAGCAGCATTTTGGATGGACTTTAGTCGGGCCACAAACGTTTTGTTGAGTCCAGAGTAAAGCAAGCAGTAGTAATCTAAATGAGTGGTAATAAAACCGTGTAACAGGATAGTTTAACTTTGGCCGACTGACTCAGTTTGATCCGACCACTGATTAAATCTGACCGAGGTAAGATCATGGTCTAGTTTACATCCTGTACCAGTCTGTGTCAGATCCTGACTCAAAGGACTCGGCTCTAAACGAATGAACATGATTGGCCAGAACATCACCACCTCAATACTTTAATGGCTTCATAGTTTAAAAAAATATATATATCTATGACTTGATTTTTCCAATTTACAGAATCAGTTGGTTCACTGTTTTCTTTTTTAGTGCATTAAAACATCCTCTGTTGCCATAGTTACCTGGAAGGATACTTTCCAATTTTAGCAAAACTGTTGTTCATTCATGCAGTAAAAGTGATAAATTAGCATAAGGGTCGTTATGTTCACCTCGAAAGCGTCACATCTATTGAATAAGACAGAATCATGAGTCAGTGCTTAAATGTACATTTCTAGCCAAACTAAAAAGAAACAAAAAGTTATATTTGTTTTCACATGTAGCAAATCAATCTGGTGTAACATGAAGTCATCTGCAAAATCTGTTTGATCCTTCTGATGGCAGACAAAAGGAAACATGGCGACGAAAACACAGCCTCATCTAGGTCGGCCTCCTCCGGCTCCACACGTCTTTTACCGAGACAGAAATAAAACGAGACTAAGAGCCCGTTACGGTCTACGTCTGACAGTAAACGGATCACATGGCCTGGCATCACACCAGACCTGGTGCCTCATTTATTCAAGGATCTTCTCAGGCCAAAAACCACAATCTAAGCCAATGTAGCCTCTGCTGAAGCCAAATGAAGCTTATCTCACAGTGTTCTATATTATATTTCATGAGCTCAAAGTCCTAAAACTTGTTTCATATTGTATAAGGTCTGTTTCTATTTTATTTAATATGCATGTATTTTATTATGTTAATACATTTAAACCCTAGAAACAGTTTCCATTATATAAGGAATAGCTAAAACAAATCCAAAAACTGCCATACTTTAAATCCTTCCCAGCGTTTTCTATTCTTTAAACCCGTTAAAAAACAGCCTCCTTACTAATGATAAACAAAATCTGGAGTCTAGAGTTTATTTCTCCTGATAACTAACACTCTCCTGTCTTGTCAAGCTTCTGCTTTTTAGGTTAGAACGCAGCCCTGACCCCTGGAGGGACATGCCTTCCCAAGCTGTTTTAGCTCTGGACATAAAATAAGAAAATTCAAGTTCAAGATTTGTTTTGCTGTTTTGGAGCCAGCACAGATGGAAACAGCAAGACACAGGATAGAATAATAATGTGCTAGAGCTTCGAAATGTTCCTCTTTTCAATACTAATGTTACCAGAGTGATGCATCAAGTAGAGAGGGGTGAATAATCGCTGCTGCTGGCTGACATATAGGACGCATTCACAGACACTTATTACAGACACTTATTATTCATTCTTGTGAAATGATTATCCACCTCGCGGACCCCCAAGAGGGCAATAGAGTTTCCAGTCAAGGATTTGTTGTGAAGTTGTGGAAATGACACAGCAGGGTGGTTAGTGGTTGCTGAAACCTTTCCATAACCCTGGAATAAATCAGAATCAGTGCTCCCGACAGCCACTTTTCAGCCAAACTGTCCTTGAGCAAATCACTGCTCTGGGAAACAAAAGAGCTTAATAGTGGAATATAAATCTTTATTATTATCTAGACATACGGCTAGTATGGAATGTCAGCGGTGATGTAAAAGGAAATTTATACAACGTACCTGAAACAAGTGCCGTTCTTCCCTCCGGCTCTGACACAGGGATACTCCACAGTCAAGATTTTATTATCCGGACACTCCATCCTAAAGAACGACGTACAGAAGGGGAGAAGAACGGGAATGATTGACCCCCAGTGTTTTATAGCGGTGCTAAAAGATACATCCTTGTAAACAGTGAGCAGAGGTTAGGAGAAAGCTGAGCACCCAAGGTCCAGGAGAGGCTCACGTTTTTTTTCACCTTTGTAGTTTGAACTGTGAACTCTCGACAGAGGGTTTTAAAACTGATTGATTATGATATCTTTAATTTTCGAGATAATTTATTACACTGTTAATTTTGGTGCTTTCATTTAGACATAGTGAATACAGATTTGGAGTTCGGCAGCTGCCAGATGGTGACACAAATTTGTCCTTATTCTGTCATTAAAAAGACCAAACAATGAATTTATTTTGTAACAGACAATTTCACAATACGGTTACCTGAAATCCACCACTCCTCTAAAATCGTGTGGAACTGTTTCTGTGCATTCATGCCAACTTTTGTCACTTTAAATGGGAAAACAGCCTGAAAAAGTAAACCAACTATGATTGGCTTCTTTACAGGAAGCAGTACTGTTTTCTTCCTAGTTGGGGCTACTAACGTTAGCAAATGCTTTCATTCATTTTTAAATATTTACTAACATTTAAACAAGAAAAATCAAGAGTAAACTCCAGAAATGTGCTTCTCCTATATCCTAAGATTGATAAAATTAATCAATCGATAGTATTTATTTGTGCCATCTGGTCATTCGGTATTCTCTGTCTTCTCTCCTCTCCATCTTCTTTTATTTCTAGCTTCTCCTGTCTGCTCTCTGTTTAACGCTTCTAAGTAGATTTCTCTTCCTTCTCTTCAACTGGTCTTTCTATCAGTGTCCCTATTTTCCTCCACTCTCATTCAATCTTCTTTTTATTAATCTCCTAATCTTCTTCCTCTCCTCTCCATTTTCTTTTCTTGGTAGCTGACTGACTTCTACCTCTTTTCAGTTTTACTCTTCAAAGTAGATTTTTCTTCTTTCTCACTAATTTAGTAATCAATTAATCATTAAATTAAGTATAGAGAAACTAAAACATGCCTTTAGCTGACAGAGCAACCAACCCTAAAGCAGTAATTATGCCAAGATTGAAAAACTATATAAATAAACATGTTGCATTTAAGATTAAGAAAAAACTTTTCTTTCTCTCAAAATGCTCTATCCAGAATTCCTTGAGCGGAAAGGTTTTAGGTTCACCTGGTTTAATTTTGTAAAAAGTCTTCTTTAAGGAAAACTTTGACTATCCGATTATTAATCAATAAATCGAAAACAATTAGTTAGTTGCAGCCATAGATCTTTCCATGTTTGTTCCTAGTTTCCTCCCCTCTCATTCAACCTCCTTTCTACCAGCCTTCTAATTTCTTATATATATATATACATATATATACATATATATATATACATATACATATATATACATACTGTATATATATATATATATATA